GGTCAATTAGAGAACAGTCTAGAAAGTTCCTTTATAGCCGAGTCATTTCTAAAGATAACCGTTCGTAATTAAGGCGGTGTAGAGCATAGCTTCAGCGCTACAAGATCCCGCTGAGATCGGCCCAAAAGACAAAGAAATGAATTACTTATTGCTGAGTCATGTCCTAAGTCCATTATTAAGTTTACACAGCCCAACCCCCTATATCATTCTAGAACTATCTATAATACAAATGTAGCACATGTAACTAGTGCGAGGCGTGGGAGTAGAGAGGCCTCTGAAAAGCATAAAAGGCCACCGCTTCTGCCCCCTCTCAAACCTCAGGTAGAAATAAAAGTTTAATTCTCCTCACCAGTGGTTGGTTCGTTTGCTCCAAAAGATAAAAGCAAATATTAGTTGTTAGCTAATATAAAACTAACACGTCACTCTAAGCGTGAGTTAGGGTCAGTTAGACACAGCTGAACAAAAGTGTCATAGTGAGAATTAGTGAGAATTTGGTGGAGGGACTTCTTAATTGAATAATCTCTCAGCAATACTTGGTTATCACACCACAGGAGAAAAGTGAGCGATCCTGAACCTGCTAGATAACTAGCACGCACTCTAAGCGATAGAAAGAGCAGTTTGGTCACTCCTGTATTGAGTAACATTTATTGCGGAATTATTTTATTAGCAGTTTTCCTTCAGTAAATTATCAGGAAAATCACATCCTACTGAAAAGTGGTAAATATAGGTGTAATATTGACTAGAAATCATAGTAAAGTCAATATAGAATTTTATCCGTAGACGATCTATACATCAGGTGAGATCGTTGGGGGGTGTTTATTGTTGTTTAGACAGTGAACAATCATATATTTGGCAACCAAAACACGGTCAGTACGCAAATCAGCACAAACTCTAATATCGTTATTGGACGTAGGAAACTGGTTACATAAGGTGATCCAGCTCTGCTCCTTCATCGGTCTTAGTCCATTGCATTGGTGACCTCATACTACATAAACACCATTGCCAATATCCCTCGGACTTTCAACCCCGCTTCCGTAACCCCCATAAGCTCCGCAACCCCTGAGCTTTGCGGATCGCCTTTGGCACTTTCGCCGCTTGTAATGTATCTCTCACGTTTACCCCTCATCCCTATTTGGACTACTGCTTCTTCCCATTCTAGCCAGTTAGTCATCATCCCCACTTCTCCTCATCCTCCTGCCCCTCTGGGCCTTGCTCTCCCTACCTCCTTTCAGACGTATCACAGGTCCTTCCTTATGACCTTTCGGTACCGCTCCGCTCCTTCTTCCCTTTGTCCCCGTTCGGACGTCTTCGTTCCGATTCGGTTCCCCTTTGTTTCCTTGTGCTTTTGCCCCTTCCATTATATATATCGGCGCTTGTACATACTCGTGGGTTCAGTCCGAAATCGACCTGAAATGCCCCCTAGAGACTTCCTGCTCACCTACTGTGAAATTAAGGACCAAATGGACAAACAGCAATGGCACAGCGCTCCGCTTGAGTCGCTGAGGCCAAGGTCCCTCCACGCTAAGTCTCCGATTCCACTCCGGAGTCGTCTGAATCCGTCCATCTCTAACAGCAAGGAAGATGCTCCGGATTGGGTTTCAATGGGGAACTGGCAGTTGAACACCAACCCTGTGCAAGATTTCTCGAATTCCAGCTCCTTCTGCGTGCTGATGGACTTTGCATGGTTCGTGACATGCCCAACCGCTCAAGGGGGCCCGATATTGAGGGCTGGTTGTCACTCTCCTACCATATCCTGGTCAGTCATAGTCTCAGCTCCGACTCATTGCGGAATAAATATCTCATGTGCACCAAAGATGGATATGCTTAGGTTCAGAATAAACCAATATGTTGGACTGTATGTGGAGGTGGTGAAGGCAAACCCCTCGTTCCAACATCAAATCCATCTTCCGAAGAGCGAGCAAGTCCCTGTGTGGGACTGTTATAGGAATGGAGTCTCTCGTGACCGTGTCAACTGAATGCCAACCACAGCGGGTCCCCCTCATCCACATCCTCCCATCTCTTTCTTACATTCTCCCCGTTCCCCCCCTTCCTTATACACTCACTCCATGCTAAGCTTTCCCTTATTGGGTTTTGGTGCTGGCCGGATTATTTATTCCATTTTGTGAGACTTCTCGTGATCATTCATATTCAATAGTTAGTGTCATGTTCATGTACAGCTACAGCCAAGAAAGACGGAACTTAATGAATAACACACTCCCACCTTCTGTGCAACAACTGTAAACCTCCTTGTGCCAACATTGTAATGTCTGTGTAAGGTTATATATGTCTCGGACACCATCTATATGGGTCATCCCTACCGAGGTTGATGACTCTAGCCATGGATCATCAAGTTCACACACGACTCATCTCAGGTATGTGCGAACATCTTCTGTTATGACTCACATCGCTTTCCCAGGTACTGGGCTCTCATCTGTCTCACCACATGGTGAGAATCTGGTTAACTCTATAGACGGATTAGTACTCGATACAAGCCTGTTCCGTTCATCGCTGGTACGCTCTTGTGAGTGCCAAGTAGCTGCTGATCCCACAACGTGTCGTTCGACCTATGAACGACTAACCCCTCCATCACTGGTATGCTCATATGAGTGCCAAGTATCTGTCAACCCAACCTCAAGAAGCTCCCTCAAGGAGCTGGAATCCCACTCGTTGCTGGTATGTGAGTCTGGGTGCCAAGTACCTGTCAACCCAACCTCAGGAAGCTCCCTCAAGGAGCTGTTATATCACTCGCTACCAGTATGCTCCCTCGAGCGCCAAGTACCTGTTAGCCTCCTGCCCTTGACTGGTCCAGCTTGGGATATCCCCTTTACTTGTGATCCTATACATCCGCTGTTGTGGGGACAACTCCGTGTACCGCAAAAAGTCGGATTCTGCGGAATTTGGTCACCAACACGCAGTACATATCCGCTGACGCTCCCGATACTCATTCTATCACTATCCAACACTCCATACACTCACTCCATATTTTTCCATATTTTCCCCATCATTCCCGACAACCCCAAGCAAAATTCCCACACCCAACCATGCCGCCAATTTCACCCCCTCTCCAGACCTCCATACCCACACTCACAACCCAGCCGTTTTTCCACCCGATAGTGATGCTCTACCACCCTTCTTCACCCCCGGAGCATTTCCCAGAATGGCAATCCCATACCCGGATGGTTCAGCATGGAGTATACTCTCATGTGGTCTTGACAGCACCTGTCAATGGCCACATCTCAAGAAGTACTGCACCAAATGGGACAAATAGGGGCTCGTTGGAAAGCTGGAGACGAGGAGGTTGCTGACGGAAGGATGGGCGGGCGCTGTGGCTGAGGAAATTTGTATCCGGTGCGACTACTGGACTTATCTGGAGCTCCAAATTCTTATGACGTAAACCAGCGTGACTGGACAAATGACATAAAATGGACAAGCCTGGTATCGAACCCAGGACTTCTAGCGTGCATCCATACACTACTCGCCTGTTATGCCAGGGGGGGGTACCCCTTCCCTGATGGTTTGGGAGATCACTTGATCCCTTCCTCCAACAGTGGCGAACTGTTGCGGAGTTAATTTTCACAATTTCCATTTCGGACCCGTTATCACATATTCCCCATTCATTCATTTTTCTTTTATTGTTTCTTTGTTCCCAATTGGATATTCATCATTTACGGTTGCCTAACGGCCCGTTTACATTCCCCCATGCCATTCATTCCATTTCAAACATATATAAACTAGATAACAGCTTGTACATAACAAGTTAGTACTGAATAGACCTGTGAAGGGACAAGCAGAAGTTGCATCCAAGTGGAAAAGATGCCATCCACGACCCTAACGCCCCCTCTGAGTTAGTTGCTTACATCTAAGACCCCTCTTATCAGAATCCTCAGCCTTGATGTCCAAGAGAGACATAGGTGAGTGTTTGTTTGAGGTTATAGCAGACCTGGTAGTGCCCCAGGACCAAAACCCGGCCCCACGAACCACACCTGCGCACACTACCACCCTCCCCCTTCTCTCTGTCTCAAGGGCAATAGACCCGTTACACCGCACACGGTACGCTCACATAAGGAGCACCAAGTATCTGTCGCAGCAGACTCCCATTCACCACGAGGTCCCAGCTTTCTGTCAAAAGCTCTAAGGTTATTGGATGATGCTCATTACATGATTAGGCCACCCTACATACACGAGGTTGACGATTCCAAGTCGTCTATAAGGATGGAAAGAAATGGATTACTGTCAGGGGACGGACCCTGGGTCCCCATGACCCCTCTCTCTATAGCCCACAACCCTGTGTGTAGACAGCCTATCCTAAGGCATAACCTGCTGTGGGTAAGGAAGTGAGAAGAAGGTTAACTTCTCACTTTCCCACAGTGGCCCCAATATGGTGAAAACTTCCGGGGATACCCGGAAGTCACATGAGGTGGGATCTGGGGTCGGATCATGCGGCATGCAGTGCAGGAAGTGCGTGGGAAGTGGAGCGGGTCCGGACACGGGTCCGGGTCCGGTGTCAGAGTACAGCCCGGTTAAGTCCGGACTGCTTACACACAACTGATGACACACCTGCCCCATACCTGCCCAGCCTGATCATCATCCCCGGACTGGCACAGACATTTGTTATATTTCCTTCTGCAGAGTGGCCCCGCTTCGCCAGGTATACTGACTTTATCATTCCCTGGGTAGCGAGTGAGGAAGATAACTTTCTTCTCTCACTTCCCCTCGCTGCTCAGGTATGTTGTACATAGTATATACAATGATATGACCTCACTTCCCCTCGCTGCTCAGCTGTAATCCCTATCGCAATCCGCTTTGCCGGGTTCCCCCATTGAGACTGATCCTGTCCCCCTCGGCCTCAGCTCCAGCGAAGGCTCGGGATCCCTCGACTTAGAGTCCGAGCAGCTCGGTACCTTGACATCCGGGCTAAGTCAGGGTATGTGCCCTGACAATTACCCAGAACCCATTTCTTTAACATTGGTGCCCCAACCCCGGTGCGACTAGATCACACCATGCCACTAAGGATGCTGGCTCAATCAACGCACAACCATGATGCTTTGGCGTCATCCACACAAGACACCCTCTCCTACCAGGTACCTGACTCTGCAGCAACGTCTCCCCCATGGGGTGATGTGCGAACCTTGCCCAAAGCCGTTCGGAGGCGACGAGATCTCACACTCATCATAGAGGCCATCAGAGAGTTTGTGGGTGGAGTTTTCAATGATCCCGACACCCCTATGACCAAAATCTGTAATTGGCAGAGAATCATGCCAGCCTGGCTCGAAAGAGAACTTGTCCCCGATGACAGTGCTAAGCCAACACTGCAATATCAGCTCATGCCCCTGCAGGTGAATTCGTTATAGACCCACATGGCGATTTCTCACTCATGCTGGCTGAGAAGGGCTGGGCATCACAGAAGGAATTCGATATTGTATGGCACTTCCTTGACCAATGACTCAACGCCTTCGAGAAGCACTGGAAAATTCCATAAAAAGAGCTGTCGACCCTTCACAGGAGTTTGACGAATTGCGACTCGGTGGTTTCAGGCCAGCCAGTGTGCCACATACCACTTTCACTGATCGGGAATCGGTTGAAAGGGCTTGGTCTGCAGAGATTAGGCCTACCTGCAAGTCGACCCACGAGATGTTGGGTTGGGAACTAAACAGTCAGTGTGAACCAGCAGTCGACGAAGTCACCTTCATACATCAATGCCAGCAGCTGCCAATAGAGCTCCCTGCTCCCAGGCCAAGCATTAACGTCGCTGCAGCTATGTTATGAAGGGATGAAGGGACCGTACCAATGATGGACCGTCCTCATGAATCCTATATGCTCCACGATCCCAAGAAGGATCTGGACTATGCAGAATTTGTTCAGGGCCTCAAGGGCAGAAAGACGGAGGTGGGCCCTGCCGATGAGAGGTATCAGAACGATAGGTACAGACCTGGGCCCAATACGGGTCCCGCCTGCTCATTGTTTCGAGACCCTTTCACTCCCATAAACCTCGGTATGGAGCCAGTTAGATCTGGACCCCAACCTTGGCCACAATATTGCTGAGGTGATGAACCACCACAACCGCCTGCTCCTCCAGACCTGCCTCTACCCCAGGGTGGGCCACCTCCACATAACTATCTGCTGCCTCCGTTAGGAGGTCAAGCAGGTGCGCCCCCTTGTCAGGGCATACCTGCCTGACCCGGGCCCACCCAGGTCCACCCGGCCACACCTCACCCACTGCCCCACTGCCCATCCTTTCCCTCCCTCCCTCCCTCCTCTTTCTTTCTCTCTTCTCTCCCTTCTCTCTTTTCTTTATTTCATTCTTCCCATCATTCCCCTCCTGTTTATTCTTTCTATTTACACGGACCACTTTCCTTTGTATCAATGTACTATTGACCTGCCCGACCCAGGCTCCCCAGATGGCTCCCCACTGTGCCCAGCACACACGCCTGCACCGGATGCCCTTGGGATCCCCCATGGGGACACCCGGATGACTGCGGTTGTCTCCGAGGATGACGTGGCATCCATCATGTGACTCAAGCCGCATGTACATAAATGTACCTGAAGTGGGAACTGAAGAAGTAACCTTCTTCTCACCTTTTCCACTTCAGTCTAAGTGGCCAGGGACAGCTGTCCCATATCGGGCCCGCCAGTACACATGCCCGATCTACCCCCCGTGAGGTCCTCAGCACCGGGCGCTATACCCGGACCCCCTCAACCCTGGACACGTCCCTGACACCCCTCCACCACCGCTCTTGCCAGGGAGTCAGGCAGGTGCGCCGCTGCCACCGCCCCCGCCTGTGCCAGGAGGTCAGGCAGGGGTGCCTCCACCTCCACCACCTCCAGGGCCGGGTGCTGTAATTCCTCTCCAAATGCCAGGAATCAGGCCATACCTCCCATTTGACTGGATGCAACCTTACGTTGATTGTAAGTACACTACGTCAGATTTCCCCAAGTTCAATGGCTTGATCGACAGTTATATAACCTGGTGCAGTATATGTTGAAAGACACTCAGTGGCCTTCACCCAAGAAATGGCAGGAGTCCTGCCTGAGAGGTTCAAGGGCAAACTCGCGGACTGGTGGACTACTGTCCCAACAGCCGACAAGCTGTGCTTCACTCAAAATTGGGAGGCTCTACACAGTTATATATTACACTACTTCTTGACACCTGCATTTATCGACAAAATATGAGAGCGTTACCACTCGTGTCAATACAGTAAAGGTGAGGGTCACATGAGGGAGACACCACTCGATTTCGTGACATGCAAGTTGCAATTATTGCGCACTCTCTACCCTTTGGCCAACATACCAAGTGTCAGGGCAACCACACCTGACCATACAACCCCAGAACCACCTTCCCTGACCTCCTCCCACTTCCCTCATCCTCCCATCTTCACACACCTTTTGCAACTACAGCCTGCACGCAAACCCACAGGAAAAATCACGTGGGTCAAGGTGAGCAACTCGCCTTAACCCATGTGACACCTTTTCCACATTGCAGGAACATGCTCGGCTCCTACCCTTAGTCACGTTACAAACTGTATAGTACATTTCCCTTTTATAGTAGCCAAGCGGGGAATAGGGAAACTTACCCTTGTTCTCAACTCAATCCCCACTTAGTGAGTTTGAGGAGCTTGGGGTAGGATCCAGCACTTGGCTGCCTGGGACACCGCAAGTGTCCAGTTCTGAGGTAGGGCCACCCCCAGACAGAGGCTGGGCCCTGACACCAAGTCAGGATGTCCTGAAGGGTGAAGTCCAAAGGCTATTGGAGGACGTTCCCAGAGGTTGGTGGGCCCACATCAACATCGACCATCTCAAGACAGTGGAGGCACTCCAATGAATGGTCGTGCTCAAACATGACAAGCTGGTGGCCACCGAAGAGTTCAGCATCGATGCCATTGCCAATAAGGTTGCCAGGTTGAACTTCGAAAAGAACAAACAGGGAACAGATCGAGTAGAAGCACGAAGTGCAGCTGCAGTGTCAGAGAGCCACACCTACCGCATGAGTGATTTCAAATCACATAAGAAGCCGCCTTGACCCTGTAGACATTGTGGGAGTGCCCTGCACTGGGACAATGACTGTCCACCTCGTAAGGTGGACCGGACCAAGAGTAATTGCAAGGATTGAGGCAGCCCTTCCAAGTTGGAGCATTCCTATCGACAGGCATATACTGCCTTGGTGGAAGGGCAGGAAGCGGAATTTGCAGTTGCTTACACCGAGTTTTGTACCCTTCCGACTCAGATCCTGCAGATGTACTAGATGTAGAGAGTCCCAAAGAGATGCCTGATGCCTACCTTGTCGTGTGTGCTTGGGGTGAGATTCCCTGTGAGGAGAAACTCATCCACGACCAGGGCCATGGGTGAAATCTATGAGGCATGCAAGTTGTTCAATCATCCCCTGGGTCAGCAGTCCCTGGGATCTGATGCATGTAGAGTGCGATGTCATGTGAATGCCATCAATGGCCACGAGGTCGAGGTGTTGGCTGATTCTGGAGCCGCTTGCACGCTGTAACGGGTCTATCACCACTAGACTCGAGACAGAAGAGAGGGGGAGGGTTGGAGTGGTTGCATGCACAGGTTCATTAACTTGGAGTGGATTCCACTACTCCTCACTGTCTAGCTAACTATACAGCTGGTCACGGTATCATGGAAGAATCCGAAAATGACAAATAAGGAAAGAACACAAGACTGTGGAGACGCGGCCAGGGGAAGAGATGTGGCCAGAAGCATTGACCCAAGTTGTGGACATTAACCCAGAGCTATCCCTCGACGAAAAGGAGCAGCTGAAAAGGATCGTGCAGCGTCATGCCAAGGCTTTTGCCATGACCAGTAACTTGGGACGTTACGACGCCCAGGTCCGCATATCATTGAAGCCTGATGCCAAGCCCATCTCTCTCCCTCCTTACCATGCATCACCACTAAAGAGGGAGATCATCGATAAGCAACTAGACTCTTGGTTGGAACTAGGAGTGATAGAGCCATCACAAAGTCCCTGGGGTGCTCCCGTCATAATCGTCAGCCAAAAAGGGAAGAACTGGCTGTGCATAGACTGGCGCAAGCTCAATGAAGTTACTATACCCAATGAATTCCCTATTCCAAGGCAGACAGACATCTTTCAGGCTCTGTCAGGGGCCCAGTACATGTCCACCTTCGACGCCCTGTCTGGATTTACACAGCTTGAGTTCGATCAGGAGTTGAGAGACAAAACAGCCTTCCATACTCAGAGGGCTATACCAATTCACCAGAATGCCTTTCGGTTGGAGGAATGGACCCCCAGTGTTCCAGAGAGTGATGCAGGAGGTCTTGGCTCCCTTCCTATGGCAATTCACCCTGGTGTATATAGATGACATCATCATCTACTTGCTCTCCTTCCACCAGCACCTAGAACATTTAGATAAGGTTCTGGGAGTGATAGAATCAGCTAACCTTACACTCTCCCCACCCAAGTGTCACATGGGATACCAGAGTCTCCTGTTGTTGGGACAGAAGGTCTCTCGACTTGGACTATCCACTCATCATGAGAAAGTCCATGCCTTGCTCGAACTCAAAGAACCCCGCAACCAGAAGGCACTGCACATGTTCTTAGGGATGGCCATATACTTTTCAGCATTTATACCCCAGTACTCACTCATAGCACAACCATTGTTCGACTTGTTAAAGGATGGTGCGCCTTGGATCTGGAGCAAGGACTGCAAGCAAGCATTTTCCTTGCTCAAACACTCACTGGCCTCGGCCCCTGTCAGGGGACATCCGATGAGAGGTTTAGGTTACCAGCTCTATACAGATGTGTCTGACGTGGCGCTGGTGGGAACCCTCCAACAGATACAACCCATACTCATCAAGGACCTGGTGGGTACCAGGACCTATGACAAGTTGAAGCAAGCACACGACCTAGGGAACCCAGTGCCCCACCTTGTAAAGAAGTTGAGTGTCGAACACGATGATCGTCCTCCAAGGATGGGTTGGGCAGCTAACTTTGAGGAATCCATGGTTCATGTGGAAAGAGTGATAGCTTACTGGAGCTGCACCTGTAAGGGCCCAGAAACCAGATATTCAGCCACGGAATGTGAGGCTTTGGTGGCCAAGGAAGCGTTAGTTCGTTTTACACCGTTTATCGAGGGTGAAAGACTATTCCTGGTCACTGACCATGCAGCCCTACAGTGGGCCAGGACCTTCGAGAATTACAACCACCATCTAGCAGCTTGGGGATTAGTTTTTGTGGCATTCCCGAACATGATTATAGTACACTGCCCGGGTTTGGTGCATTCTAACGTGGATCCACTGTCAAGACTGTCCTGGACACCCGAGGCATTCAGCCCTGAAGTGGAAGGGTTGCCCAGCCTAGAGATGAGTCTACCACAAGGGGACATAACTCAGCCCTGGGTGGACTATTTATGTAAGGACCAGGTGAAAAGGACCCTCATGGTCACCTGATCAAGGTCTATTGCAAGTGAGAAGTTGGACCTGTCTGGCGACCCCAATATGGAGAGACAAGGGGAAAAAGGTCCAGTTTCCAACCTCCAGATGAGCCTACGATGTGGTGGGGCACAGGAGACGAAAGGGGAAAACGTTATTCGGAGTTCGGTGGAAAGGGTATGGAGCCCAGGAAGATATGTGGGTGATGGAAAGAGACCTCAGAAATGCACCCGAAATACTGGCAAAATATAAATCAAGGACTGGCTTGAGCAGACACTATTAAGCACCTACTGCCCAATTGAGCAAAGTCGGGACATCCCGAGTCGGAGCCAGATCATGGCATCAACTGATCATTGCTCATTCCCGATCAC